CTATCTATCATCTATCTATCTATCTATCTATCTATCTATCTATCTATCTATCTATCTATCTATCTATCTATCTATCTATCTATCATCTACCATCTCATTCTGAACTGTCCATCTGCTCTGCAGATAGCTTAAAATGAATAAAATTATCAGACAGAAGCATGCATATTTTATTTGTGCCCAATCATCCCAGAAATTCTGAGAAAGAATACAAGCACATCTTTATAGCTGGATTTCTCATGAATATCTGATTTAAGGATTGGGATTATGGTTATAAAAGATTTGGAACTAGGAGAATATAACAGAGGTGTGCAAAATTCTGTGATAGAGCTATAGAATTTTTATTTCCCTTCAACACATATCGTTTTTTCCTCTGTTGCACTCAAACAGAAAAATCTGAATATTCCTGGGTGGTGAATTTAATTCTGGAAGTGGATTATCCAAAATTGGAAGTAACTGTATATTCTAGATGCTGCCCAACTGCTCTTCTATGGACAGTTCATGGTGAGTCACTTATAGAAATAGACTACACCACTCTGGGGTTAAAGGCATCTATTTTATGATCAGATTTAGAATATAATATATAATTTTGGTTACTATATCTCAAAAAGGATATAGATCTATTATAACATTTGGTGCACCAGAACTTCCAAATTCAAAGCCACTTAATATCTTCACCAAAGGGCTAATGCTTTCTTGTCCGGATTATGGGCTTCCCAAAAGAATCTGATTGGTTGCTGTGAAAGGGTCATACTTATAAAGATGCACTGTAGGTCTCTTCCAGCAGTTCTTCAAGCCAATATAATCTTCACACAAACTTCTGTGAATTATAGTACAGTTTAACAGCTAATTGGAGCACAACCCTAAAAGGAGTTTATATGTACACCCTGCTGTTCATGGAACAGTATCTTTTAAAGTAGGAGGAAGAGAGATGGTTACAGGAAATGAAAAAAACTGGGGATGACATATAAATTGTCTTAAACATTGCCTTAAATTTTTTAAAAAAATGTTTGTTTAAACTCCCTCTACTTTACAATAATGTAAATGTAGAAAAGTCACTGTTGAACAGCCTATTTTTCCTTTTCCTAGGTATAATATCCTATTGGCAAATCTGAAGTTTAGGGATAAAATAGCCATCATGAACATGCTTAGCTGTGGGGACTGAGGATTTCCCATATGTACAGTTAATTTCAACACAGTTTGCTGGTGTCTTATATTAAAGGCTTCCAAACATGAAGCAGATGTAACCAGGAGGCATACAAATTATGCGAGAACCCAAAATGTCTGGAGCAATGCTTCAGAAGGCAGTTTTCTTTCTTTCTGTTAAAAAAAGCTCACTCAACTATCACTGATTCTGTAACAGCTAAGACAACCATTATTTAACTCACTAAGAAAAATAGACTTTACTGCTTAAAAGTAATCTAATGTTTAAGTTGTCTTTTAATGTCAGATAATAGTATTAGATAATAGTAAGTAAAACAAACAAAATTTTACAAGACTTTTAACTCTTTGGGTCTCCCATGTGTTTTTTTAGGGAAGTTTTCATGTTTCATTTTAATGTGATATCCAGTTAAAATCTCTGGAATGTAATTCAACCAGATATGTCATATATGTTTTGTTGGAATAATTGTACAACTGTGCTGACAAGCAAACTCCAGCAGTTGCCCACAAGCCCATATAAAATGTTTAGTGAAAGAAAATGTTAGAAATCTTAGGAAAATAGCTTGGAAAGAAGAAGGCAAAAATAAAGAATTAACCACCTGGATTATAAAGGGCAGAGGGCGTGGCAAATTAAATCTACCCAGATATATTCAGTTTTTATTGCAGTTTCTAGATTTACACACTTAAGTCATCTCTCATCTAATTATGTAATATTTTCAACGTACAAATATGCATTTGGTGTCATCTTTGTATCTTTCAGAGTAGTTTCTGGTGAATGCAAAAGTTCCAGTTCAATCAAAATCTTCCTTCTGGTACTGTATACACAAAACTTTTTGTAAGTTGGAGTTATTTATATTATGCACTGTCTAAATGAGTAAGATTATTTTAGGTATAACACATTACTTCTTTAGTATCATAATACTGTGTTTACTTTATTCTTTCATTTTATTGTAAATAACTTTTCTAAAATGATTTTTAATTTTAATATGAATCTATTGAAATTATATAATCTAGTAATTTGATTTAATAATTGGACAGCCAATATGAAGTAGGACTGGAAGCACCCAAGTTCACATTTGCCCTTATTCATGAGAACCAATCGGGTAACTTTGGGCCAGTTATTTTACCTGAGCCCAGTTCATGAGATTGTTGCTCCTGGGATAAAAGGCAAGGAAATCCGCATATAAACCTTCAGTTTTTAGAGGAAAGACAGAATAACAACCAAACAACTATAATCATGGAAACCCACTAATGAAACTCTTAAGGCCACATCAGCTTTTAGGAAATTGTACCAATAAAGTAGAGTATTTGTAGCTCAGGGTTGAAATGAGGAATGCTTAACGCTCTCTGAGCTTGGTTGATTTCTTGCAGACATTTCATTACCTAAACTAGGTAACATCAGTGTTAGTAGTGCTAGTTTGGGTAATGAACATCTGCAAAAAAAAAAAAAATACCAAGTTCAGAGAGCACCAAGGATCCCTCATTTAAGAAATTGTGTTGGCCACCTTTTTGAACTGTTGAGCTTATATGGAATTATGAGAACATGCCAAAAATGTTCTTACAAACTGTGATAAGGAGAACTGAACTGTTACTGAATAAGCCCAATGAACATGTTTGTTTATGATAACAATAACAAATAACTTTTGTTTATACACTTTACAAAGAAAGAGCTTTACATAGCAATGAATAGAAGACACATATAATTCATTTACTACTTCAAAACTAAAGAACAATTTCAATGTAGAAAATGGCTCCTATATTTCTAGAGAAGAAATTCTTCTATTACCACACCCAAAGAATCTTCTAGTAAATAAAAAGATTCTCATTTAGATTGACAGCATATTCAGCGGTTTAGTTTTGTACTGGGATAAGAAGAATCAGGTTCAGGAATCTGTTTGACCAAAGTGAGTGATTTTGATCTAATCACTTCCTTTTAGCTCAGCCTATCTCACAAGGTTTTGTGCAAATAAAGTAAAGGGAGACTCCTATATGTACACTGAGCTCTTAAACCCAGAACCTAAATGCAATAATAATTAAAAATAACTTGTTGATACGTATATAAAGAAAGATTATTTACATAAAAACAATACCTGCAGTCTTCGATATATAACATGTGCCCAAAAACTGCAACGCTGAGGTAAATCACCCATCTGAAAAACAATTAAAATTTGGAATTGAATCCCAAACTATTACTGATTGATTACTTTACTGATTGTAAAATTTTTGAGGAAAAAAAATACCTGGTAAATTTGCTCGAGACTATGAACAATTGGGGGGAAATATAAATTTGACAATTGTTCTCTTTCATCTGCATCAATGTAATCAGCAGAAGCAGCAAGAATGTAACAGAAACTTTGAGGAAGCTGGTTAGCAGTAACGTGCTGAAAATAATAAAAATAAGTATAGCCATTTAATAAACGGATGCTCCATACTGAATTAATTTATTTGGTGCAGACTAGGAAGCCCTTCTAAATAAGTGACAAAAGATGGTTAGCAGACAACTTCTCCAAATATCAATTATCTTTGCAAAATCAGAAATAATATTTCATCTACACTTTATTCTGAGTATGCACCCACAGATTTATGACACAACAGAATATAGCTAAGCACAAAGCAACAAATAACGGAAATTGCTTTTGTTATGATAATACTGGCTAAATGGGGTTCTAATATTTTCATTTCTTCACATACTTTCTCTGTCATTTAGAATATTAAACATGAGGATGAAACCAACAACAAATATTTTAAGCTATGTTACTGAGAAGCAAGAATGCTGCCAAACTGAATCTCCAGCAGCAAGAGGATAATTGGGGACATGAATAGTAGAATGTAACATGAAGTTCTCTTTAGCAGTGGCTGGTATGAGATCAAATCTATTTTATTTATTTGAAGACTGTATAAAGCAATATAATGCTAATTATAAATTTAAAGGTCAATAAATATTGAGAGTTATTTCTTGATAATTACTCCAATTACAAAGAAATGGCAATAATGAAAACAGCTTCATCTTTGTATATTCATTTGTGCACATGGAGTTTCTGAAATATCACAACATTAAAGCTATGATTCATGTTCCAAAACTGCATGTACTTATTTAACATCCTGATTAAAGGAACTCGAGTGCTTTCACCGTATTTTGTCAATATGCATGCAAATCTGAAATTCATAAATCCCACTTTCAACCATCATTGCTTTACCCAAATTAACTAAGAGATAAGTGCAAGTTAATCATTGAATATACATCCACAGAATTTTCAATGTGAATTAACACAAACTCAGCAAAACATAAAAGTGAATATATTTTAAGTATATTTTTTCACTAGAAGGCATAACACACAAATGCCCTTTGTATCAATGTTTGTGCTTTTTATGTTGCACAAAGCACGATTCCTTACAGGCTGCAGAAGTGAGTGTTGTGCAGATGGGTGGAAGGATTGGAAAGAGCTTTCAAAGAAAGATTGATTTATGAAGCACTTAGTAAATTCACAGAACAGCCAAAAAAGCGTTTTACTCTATATTAATCCAAATCAGCTTTGGTGGTGAATTTCCCACAACAGTAACCCAGTGAGAATCTTTTGCTGGTGAAGGAACCTTTCTGGTTTTCTCCTATGCTGTTCAGAACACAACTAGTATAGAACTAACAATAGGAAGGGAAGCATAGCAAAGACAGAACAACAATTTTGGAAGGACCACACCCACAGAGGCAGGATGGAACCGCTTAAAAGCATATGTCTTCCACTGCTAAGAGAGGAGGACAATCCCTCATTAAACCTGGTACTTTAACCTTTGCACCAAACTCTTCCTCCATTTTGAGAATATTATTTATTTATGAACCTATAAATAAACCAAACCTCCACCGTAGGGAGGAGGAACCGACCAGCTGGTTCCGCCCCAAGCGACTGATGGATCCTGTTAGGTTCCAGACGGAGCTTGGGGTTA